GGGGTGGTGCGTCAGGGGGACGCGGCGCAGGCCCCCATCATACGGTGGGGCAGGGCGTGCTTTCGGTGCACAACAGGGTGAGAAGCGCGAAAGCTCGTGCAGCAGTGGTTTGGGGGAATCCTTGTTTCGGGGGTGGTGATGTTTCTTTGGGAGGGAAGGTTGACTTGGGGGTGGCCCCGCTGCCCAGATCCATGCTACTTCACTGCGCCTGACCCAATCCATTGAGGGACAAAGTACAAAGTGCATTGCCAAACAGCCCCAATGGCACTCAAAAGCCCCAGCCCAAGCAAGCGTTGAGCAGGCGAGCCAGCAGGCAAGCGAAGCGCCCAGGCGGGGCGGCCGAGGCCCGGTCCTGGGGAGTGGTCGCTGCGCCCTCTGCGCGCACCTGATCCGCGTCGGCGGCAGCAACGATGGCGCCGCCCTCTGCGCCTCGGCCCTCAAGGGCGCTCTCTTGGACCTGCAAATGTCGGGAAATGGTTGGAAATTGTGATAACAGCCTGGTTGCTGGAGGGGCCCTCTGGGACGTGACACATTCACTCCTCTCGAGTGTCATGATTTGGTGGCACGACTAAGGGGACGCCCGGCTGTCGGGCGGCCGCAATCCCGGCGCCTGTGTGCCACCACCCGAAAACCGAGCTCATTCCCATGCAAAACCCCCAGCCAGCTTTGGTGGCGGCCCCCACACCGCCAAACCCAAAACAGCCTGCAGCCGCCTCCTCACCAGCAGACCCCCCGCAGCCGCCCATCCAGCAGGCCACCCCTTCCCTCCCTCGCTGCCCCCGCCGCCCCCGGTGCCTCCACGGCCCCCACGGGCCCCACTCCCTCACACCACACGCCTGCAAGCGCGCACCTGGACGGCGCTCGCGCGCCGCTGGGCAGAGCCCTCGATGCGCCGCACGTCCGCCTCGCGCTTGCGGAGCGCCACCTCAGCGGCCGCCAGCTGCGCGTCCTGCTCGTCCAGTTGGGCGGCCTGTGTGTGTGTGAGTGTGTGTGTGTGTGTGAATGTGTGTGTGTGTGAGTGTGAATGTGTGTATGTGTGTGTGAATGTGTGTGTGTGTGCGTGCGTGCCTGCGCGCGTGTGTGTGTGTGTGTGTGTGTGTGTGTGTGTGTGCGCGCGCGTGTGTGTATGTGTATGCGTGAGATAGATCGATAGAATGCGCGTCCACGTTCGTGTGCGTGTGCGCACGTGTGGGTGGCATGCATGGTGGTTGTGGAGTCCGCAGGAGGCGCGCGGCAGGGTTGCCATTCACAGAAGTGTTACGCAAACGCACCCGCTCGTCGAGCGCCGCCGCCGCCGCCGCCGCGCCCCGCTGCTGCACCGCCAGCGCCGCCCGCTCGGCCTCCAGCGCCCGCGCCGCGCGCTGCAGGTCAACCCTGCCGTTGACCAGATCGTCCTGCGCGGCGGTCAGCGCCGCGCGGCCCTTCTCAAGCTCCTCCTGGGCCGCCGCGAGCGCGACCTGCGCGGCCGCCGCCGCGGCGCTCTCGGCGGCAGCCTCCCTGCGGGATATCAAAGGAGGGGCAGGGCAGGCCGCCCGCACAGATGGGGACTGAATCAAAAAGCGATGCTCAGTCTCGAATCAGGGCCGAAGCCTTGAGAAGCGCCAGGATGCCTCGCCACATCGCTTCGCTGAGCGGTTCGCGAGAGTGCGAGCTGTCGTGTCCGACGGCGGGCGGCCTGAACCCCTCGCGGCGGGGCCCCCCTGGCTAGCACGCACAGCGATCGCCCACTGATGTCGGCGGCAAAAGGCCCCCTCCCCCACCCACCACCAGCACCGCCTCCCACCTCTGAGCCGCTGCAGCAGCGAGCTGCGCCTCTGCGACTTCCGCCTCCCTCGCGCCGAGCCTCTCCGCCAACGCCGCCAGCTCGGCCCTCCCCTCCTCCGCCGCCGCCCCCGCCTCCGCCGCCGCCGCGGCGCGCAGCTTCACGTCTTCGGCGAGCGCGTCCAGCTCGGCGCGGCGCCGCGCGGCCGCCCGCTCGCCTTCCGCGAGTGCGGCGCCCAGAGACTGCAGCTCGCTGCCGAGGGCGTCGAGCTCCGCCCTGCGCGTGGCCGCCTGCGCCTCGGACTTTGCCACCTCTGCCTCGCGCCCCTCCAACGCGGCCGCGAGCGCCGCCAGCTCGGCCTGCCCCTTCGCGGCCGCCTGGCCCGCGGCCGCCGCCGCCGCTTCCGCGGCGGCTGCGGCGGCCGCACGGGCGGCGGAGTCTGCGGTGAGAGCGTCGGCCGCCGCGGCGCGCTTTGAAAGCTCCTCCTCGGCCGCCGCAACACCGGCAGCCCTCTGCTTGACCGCCGTCTCAAGAGCGTCCAGCTCAGCTTTGCGCTTCGCCGCCGCCGCCTCGGCCTTGCTCAGCGCGCCCTCCCGCTTCGCCAGCTGCGCCTCGAGCGCCGCCAGCTCGGCGCCGGCCTGCGCGGCCGCCGCCTGCGCCGCAGCCGCCGCCGCGGCCGCCTCGGCGACCCCGGCCTCGCGGGCTGCGAGCCGCGCGGCAAGCGCGCCGCACTCCTGCCGCTGCTTGCTTGCCACCTCCTCGGCCGCGGCAACGCCGGCTGCCTTCTGGTTCACCGCGGTTTCGAGAGCGTCCAGCTCAGCCCTGCGCTGCGCGACCGCCGCCTCGGCCTTGCTCAGAGCGCCCTCCCGCTCCGACAGCTGCGCCTCGAGCGCAGCCAGCTCGGCCTGCCGCCCCTCGGCCGCCGC